CAAAAGCTCATCATACGCAGGGCAGGAGGATTGGGAAGGCTCAACCTCAGCTTCTTTGCCCTCCTCAGACATTTCCTGCTTTTGCTGGGCCGAACCCAGCAGAGCAATGGCCCCTGGATCAGACAATGTTAATGAAATAACATCATCCTCCAGCGGCTCACTCTCGTCCACAGCCGACGATCGCAAGAGGGAAAACCCCTCTTCAAACTCATCGGCCAGATCCACCTGCGATCCCCACAAGCTCATTCTCCTCCGTGCCTCAGCAGCGGCGGGTCCTGTATCGCGGGAAGCGGATGGCTGCTCCTCTTTCCTCGAAAAAAAGAGAGACAAATGAGAGCGGAGATTTTTCATTGGAAAAACGCTCGCAGTGCACGCCGATTGCCCCCTCGGAAACATCGCATGCGTGCTCTTCGCCCAAACAAATAACGCATAGATCATGTGTGTCATCAGATGTTAAACAACGACAACACGGATGTACACATCCTCTAAACGCTTTGCTAGTACTCGCCATAATGATATGAATAGAGTTCGCTTCAAACAAAACAGTAAATGAAGACGAAGAAGAGGATGATGTGTTCTCCCGGTGCCTATTTATACTATAGTCGCACCGGTAGTGACGTCATGGCTGTCGCCGGCCAATGTGTTGTTGGTGTTTTTTCAATGTATGCTTCAGACACGGGTCACGACGAGGCATTCCCCATAGCGACCCCTAGAGGACGCAGTTCGAAGTTCCCATGAAAGGGAACCTAAAATGTTGCTACCATATTTTTTACGGTGAAGTTCTGGCAACCACAGCTGCCGGTATTTTACCATAAATGTCACCTAGTAAACCTAACCAATAGTGTTAACAAAAGCAAACAAGGCATAAAAACACATTTGCTGAAGCAACCATAACATTTTAGTTTACTTCTACTAGTTCTACAATGCTGTACCAGGTGAGCTAATGGGCAAGTTTACTTAATCAGAAAAGCCATACATATGGAGTTGCATATGCTTTTGTATTAGTTTACAAATCATGCACTATGGTAAAAGTGTTTTGAGGTCATAAGATAATATTTGGGACAGTAGAGGCATGTGTTTTTTTCCCAATGAGCCTATGTTGGAGAAGCCTAAAATTATATATCGATTATGAAATTACATAAAGATATACTTAAGTCCTTCTTAAGTGGGTCAAAAAAGCAAGTTCAACAATTGCATTTAATATGAATTTAAACTATAATACATTTACATTTAATTGTAAATACCATGCAATTAAGTGTCCAAAAACATTACATTCAGTTCACACTTAAGTATGTTCTTTTAAAGTATGTTATTTCTGTAATCGTTACTCTCTTTAAAAGTATGCCAAAGCGTACTTCTTTTTCACAAGGGAACTTAAGGCCATCTTTAGTCCCCAATGTGTGCATCTTGTTACTGTCAAATTGAACTAATAACCTTCATGCCAGATGACTAGTTAGCTAACTACCTGTCTTCTGCGCTTTAATACAACTCTTTTTACATCAATAGCTCTGTTTGTCATAGAAACTCACAAAACACTATGGAAGATGAGGTCAGAAAATATGAATCTCCTTCATACAGCTGTCCTTTACAAAACCATCCTCTGACTGTACTTTATAAAACTAGCTTTTCAGAGCCACACGCCTAGGAAAACTTTACTGTCGCACTGGCGTACCGGGAGCTGCGGCCAAGCATCAAAGCTAGAACAAATGTCATCAATGTGCATCTGGATGGAGTGTTTTGTTGCCAGAAAAACTCTCACTCTCCACCACTGTTGTCCTCAACCCATTTTTATTGTGTTATTTTTTACTTTAAACAGAAAGTTAGTTCCCATCTTGCAAGGACGTAGATTTATTGACATTAACTGAGAAGTTATAGTAAATATGCTAGAAGACCCCACTCATTAAACGAAATGCATTTATAACATGGATGAAGCAAGAACATGACAAAAGTGTTTAAAATGCATGTGCACAGTTTAGCTGATGCTAATAACTTGAATGATAAACTGATCAATTGAATCAGGTTTGAAACCTAACTAAATCTTTAAAAAAATGTGCTAAAGTTCTGAGAAATTACACATGTTAAAGCATGGGTACTGTGTACAAAAACTTGAGTGAAAGTAAAACTTTTCACTGTCCTTTTTTTTAAACTCATTTTTTACCTTTAGGTAATTATCCAAATCAAACTTTTTTTGTGGTAATATCATCTTTTTTGTTCTGCTGAAGGTTTGGAACAACATGAGAGTGAGTAAATAATGACAGGGTCATTGTTTGAGTCACCCATCACTTTATATTTTTAAGTAAAAAAAAATAAAAAATCTATCAGAAATTGACTGATGAAATCAAGAGACAGAGGGGATTTTCTTTTTACTGCACAAAGCAATCTGTTGATC